TTTCCTTTCTTTTTTTTTTTTTGAGACGGAGTCTCGCTCTGTCGCCCAGGCTGGAGTGCAGTGGCACGATCTCGGCTCACTGCAAGCTCCACCTCCAGGGCTCATGCCATTCTCCTGCCTCCCAAGTAGCTGGGACTACAGGCGCCGCCACCACACCTGGCTAATTTTTTTGTATTTTTAGTAGAGACGGGGTTTCACCGTGTTAGCCAGGATGGTCTCCATCTCCAGACCTCATGATCCACCCGTCTCGGCCTCCCAAAGTGCTGGGATTACAGGCGTGAGCCACCACGCTCGGCCTAAATTTTTCTTAATTTTTTAAAGATTTTTTAAATTTTTTGTTTATTTCCTTTTTTTTTTTTTTTTTTTTTTTTTGAGACAGAGTCTCACTGTGTCGCCGAGACCGGAGTGCAGTGGCACAATGTCGGCTCACCGCAACCCCCACCGCCTCCCAGTTTCAAGCGATTCTCCTGCCTCAGCCTCCCAAGTAGCTGGGATTATAGGCACTGGCCACCACGCCCAGCTCATTTTTGCATTTTTTTCAGTAGAGATGGGCTTTCACCACGTTGGCCAGGCTGCTGGTCTTCAAACTCCTGACTGCAGGTGATCCACCCACCTTGGCCTCCCAAAGTGCTGGGATTATAGGGATTATAGGCATGAGCCAGTGCACCCAGCCAATTTTTTTAAGAAAAAAAATTTTTTTTTTTGAGACAGAGACAGTCTTTGCTCTATTACCCAGGCTGGAGTGCAGTGGCATGATCTCAGCTCACTGCAAGCTCCGCCTTCCGGGTTCACGCCATTCTCCTTCCTCAGCCTCCCGAGTAGCTGGGACTACAGGCGCCCGCCACTACGCCCAGCTAATTTTTTTGTATTTTTTAGTAGAGACGGGGTTTCGCCGTTTTAGCCAGGATGGTCTCGATCTCCTGACCTCGTGATCCACCCGCCTCGGCCTCCCAAAGTGCTGGGATTACAGGCGTGAGCCACCGCGCCCGGCCTTTAAAGACTTTTTTGAAACATTTAGAGCCTGTGGTCACAGGACATAAAAATATGCATTTGAATATTACTACATATGAATGAAGGCTTTCTGTTACAGACAGATGTGATAGCAGTATTGTCCTTTACAGCATAAAATACATACGATCAGGACAAAAACCAAAGGGGAAAGTACAGCGGAAATAGACATTCAAGGAAAACATGAAATGTGAAATTTCCAAAGGTTAAAGTAGCCAGGTCTTGGCCTCTTTTTCACGGATGGTGGCAGGAACAACTTGTTCATAACAGGCCTCGTAGACGCCTGTGCTTACATTTAGAGAAAGAGATCCGTTTTTAAAATGCCAATAAATAGCTAACAAAATAAGCTAGAAACTTCCTTTGCAACTTTCTTTGCAACTATCTAAACTTGTGATTAAATTTTTAGCTACCCATGACACAGTGGCACGCATCTGTAGTCCCAGCTACTCAGGAGGCTGAGGCAGGAGGAGCCCTTGAACCCAGGAGTTCGAGGCTACAGCGAGCTCCTCATGCCACCACTGCAGTCCAGCCTAGGGCAACAGCGAGACTCCATCTCTATTTATAAATGAATACATATGTTTCAAAATTTTTAGCTACCCACCTAAAATGTGCACAAAGATACGCTGTATTTTCGAAATCTGTTAGTGGCACAGTGACCCCACGGGCAGTGGGGATGTGCATGCCCCTGTGAGCCTCACCCAGGGCTTGTCCTCCACCCAGCGGCCCCCGCACCTGACACAGAGGGACACAGACACCCTGCACGGCTGAGGGCCTCCCATGCTGCTGCTTGCAGGTGCTTCAAGCTGTCTTGCCGGGCTGTGGGCGTCCACCCACCCCTGGAGCTGTCCCACTACCAGATCAAGTTTGCGGCCACGGCCCTGTATGACACCTCCGTGGCCACAGTGTATGTCATCAACTCTCACCTGAGCATGAGCTCACGGACCCACTCCAAGCCCCGCATTGGCTCAGAGGACACCTCTCCCGTGGGGCCCACGTCTTTCGAGTTCCTGCTGCCCCCAGACTCGCCTATCACCATCTCGCCCTCGGTGGGGACCGTGTGGCCAGGAAAGGTGGGTGTGGGCCTCACACGCCGGCTGGGAGGCAGGGGCTCCACGCCACCTGCATTTGTCCCCAGGGTGTCTGCCTTTGCCCACCTTTAACCACAGGGTTTCAATCCGGAGAACAGGGGCACAAGTCAACCTGGCCCTCATCAGACCCAAGCAGGGCCGAGGAAGGCTCCATGGCCAATGTGCATGGGGCCCAGGGCCACCCACGCCGGGGGGGCGGTCACAGTACCCTCGGTCCAGCCTGACCCGGATCCACGGCCAATGTGCATGGGGCCCAGGGCCCCCCACGCCGGGGGGGCGGTCACAGTACCCTTGGTCCAGCCTGACCCGGATCCATGGCCAATGTGCATGGGGCCTAGGGCCACCCACGCCAGGGGGGCAGTCACAGTACCCTTGGTCCAGCCTGACCCCGAGAGGCAGGAGCTCCCCAGGCTGCTGGCCTGGCCGGCACCCATCCAGGGCTCCCAGGTTGAGACTGGGGAAGGCTGCGTAGCCCCTTGCACCAGCGGACCTCGCAGGCAGAAGGGGAGTGGGGGGACAGAGGGCGTCGGCCACTCCCACCCAGCACTCCACCTGTCCTGCAGAGCAGAAAGCTCTGGGCCTGGCAGGGCCTTCGGGTGACCCTGAGGGCTGCTGAAGGCCTAAGTGAGGAAGGGCACGTGGGGGACAGCTGGCTCACATGGGATTGCAGTGAATGCAGTGATTCAAAATGTAGGACTCGCCCATAAAACTCAAGGACGGAAAGGGCAGGCTCAGCTGTCACTGCTGCCCCATGGACAGGGGACCGGGTCCTGGCCTGCCCAGGACTCTACTCTCAACACCTCCAATCACAGGACCCCCACCCTTCATGGCCAGAGGGCTTGGTGCTCACGCCTGCAGCCCGCCCCCGCTTCCTGGGGGACAGAGGCCAGGGAGGGCCATCCCGAAGGGGCACACAGGCTGAAATCTCAAGGGGGAGGTGACCTTGAGAAGAGTCAACGGGCGGAGGAAGGTAGAGTGCCAGCAGGGGCTCCTGGGGGGCGGAGAGAAGTGGCAGCCCCTGTGCCCACGCCTGTCTCTCCTCAGAGGTGCCTGGTCCAGGTGGCCTTCCGGCCCGTGCTGCCTGAGAAGCTGATCCACCAGGAAGCCCTCCCACTCCTGAACAAAGAAATGGAGACCAAATCCGTGCGTGGGGCCTGGAAAGGAGGGGCGTGGGTAGGGGAAGGGCCTGTCGCAGGAACAAACTCCACCGCCCTGGAGTCCCTGGGGGCCCCCCGCCGTGTGCCAGGAGCGCAGGGTAGACCTTTCCCAAGCACTGCGCATGTCGAGCTGCATCTGAGAGGTTAAAACGCTTGCTCACCGAGACCCTCCCTCCTCTCTGGAGGGCACTGCCAGGCGGGAGCAGGGAAGGGTGGGCTCTGGAGGTAGGGGCAGTAGGGGCTGCGACCCAGGGGTGCGGTGGATGCAATGCAGGGCCCCTCCCACAACCTGGAGGCCCCCAGAGGCGCACCTGAAACATGGAGGGTCCTGCAGAACCTGCCCGGCGAGCGCCCGCCCTGGAGGCGGCCTCGAGAGCTCCTGCCTGCCACACTCCAGATGCGCCCTCCCTGGCCCGGCCCGGGTTCCTCCTGGGCGTGCACGCGAGGGGAAGCGCTTGCCTTCAGACTTTGGCAGTGAAGACGGGGGGGACCCCAGTTCTGGCTGCCTCCTCACCCCTTTGTGCCTCGGTTTATCCTCTGGTGAAGCAGACGCTGCAGTCTGTGGGCAGCTCTGTGGGGGTCCGTGTGCCCCTCTGCACTGGCTACAGTCTTCCTAGGGAGCCGGTCGGTTTTCTGGTCCCCATTCAATCCAACTGGGGCTCCCACGGTTCCTGCACTGGCCGCAGAGGAGCCACAGGGTGCAGCTGGGTGCCTCTGGGGCCCTGCACAGCCCCACAGCCAGTCTCTTCCCCCACAGTTCCGAAAGGATATGGCCTCCCAGAGGAAGGACATGCAGAGACTGTCACTCTCCGCTCTTCGAATGCAGAACCGCGACAAGCTGTTCAAAGTCTCTGTCCCCCACGTCCTGGAACTGCGGAAGCGGGAGCTGAAGCCCAGGTGGGTCCAGGAGGGGCTGCCCCACCTGCTTCCCTCCAGGCCCCTCTGGTGGGACCCACTGTGGCCCCTGTGGAGAGTCCCCTCCCCCCACAGACTGCCCAGAATGACCCATGTGGCTGGAAGGACTGACAGCTTCAGACACAGCTGGATCCAGGTGCTGCCTTCCTGGGACCTGCCCACCCCATTCCCCCAGGCCTGACACCCCTGCCCGTAGCCTCACTCCACGGGTGGGAAGCGAAGCCACCGCCCCCCACTCAGCCCCCTTGGGTGCAGAATGAGCCCTGGGAAAGCTCTGATGGGCGCCTGTGGCCCCAGAAAGGAACATGGCTGTCTATCCAGGGCCCAAAGGCACCTGCCCCAAACCCCAGCCCCCAGCCACCAGCTGACGAGGACCTGAAGTGAGTGACAAGGCCCCCACGGGAGCCAGAGAAGGGTGGAAAAGCCAGCTTGTCAGACACAACTGCGACAGCCACAGCCTGGAACCCCGGGACCCTGAGGCAGAGCCGCAGGGGTCCGGCCTAGGCCAATGGTGGGCGGGGGGAGGCGGGAGTGCACACCTCCGACTTCCTTCCAGTTCCGACGAGTACCAGGCCGCCCGAGCCACCCTGGTCAGAGCATTCCAGGCGAAGTTTGACACATTTGTAGTTCCCTGTGTTGTTGCCAGTGGCGACGTCAAAGACAGGAAAGGGTCAGAACCGCCAAGCTTCAGGTGCGAGGCGCCGTGGCCAGAATGGGGTGTGGTCAGCCGCAAACGCGCCGTCCTCTGCTACTGCCCAACCCTGGGGCCTGGGCGGGCAGGGGGCCACCCACCCTGCCCTCAGCATGCCCTTCCCGTCCCAGCCCCCACAACACCCTGTACCTGGAGCTGTGGTGCCCGACGGTGGCGCCGTCTGTTGTGGTGACGTCCCACAAAGGCAAGACCATCTTTAACTTCGGCGACGTCGCCGTGGGTGAGACGCTCAGCCCCACGCACACCTCCACCCGGTGCCCAGGCACACCCACGCCTCCCCCAGCCCCACGGCCCACGCGTGACAGGGGTGCTCCCTGGGGCCTGGGGCTGGGGCTGTGGCCTGACGCTCTCTGCCCCATTTCAGGGCACCGCAGTATCAAGAAGGTCTCCATCCAGAACGTCTCTCCCGAGGATCTGGCCGTGTCCTTGTCCACCCAGCCCAGGCGGCCTGCGGGGTGGGAGTGGGGGCCGGGGAGGGTGTGGTGGAGCCTGCAGACACCCGTGTCCCCTCCTTGACATGGACCCTCAGCTGGACTTCTCCCTGCTGAACCCCAACGGCCCCTTCGTCCTGCTGAACCACTCCAGCCTGCTGCGCGCGGGTGAGACCCAGGTCCTGGTGCTGTCCTTCTCTCCCCACGAGAGCATCCTGGTGAGTCCCAGGCCCACCCCGGCCACACTGCGGCCCAAGGCTCCCCACACCGCAGGACAAAGGCGCTGGCCGGGGCGGGCATCGCCTGTGCTCAGGCCCGGAGCTGACCACGCCTGGGTCTGTGGGCAGCCTGGCCCAGGCCCTCACGCCAGCCGGCAAGTGAACGGAGCTGATGGAGCCCCAGCGCTGTCTCAGCTCCGGCATTGAGAACCCACTGCCCCTGAGGCAGAGCTCCCCTCGTGGCTCCAGCAGACATCTGTTCCTGACCGAGGGATGTGGTCTCTTTAGGCTCAAGAAACACTGGACATCATTACCAAGAGAGGCACGCTCACCCTCACCCTCGTGGGCACTGGCGTGGCGTCCATGATCACGTGCTCCATTGAAGGCAGCATCCTCAACATGGGCTATGTGATCGCCGGAGAGTCTGTGTCCTCAGGCTTCAAGGTGAAGCACACGTGCTGGCTCCAGCCTCCCAGGAGGGGTTTCCACCAGGCAGGACTCAGGCCAGCTGTGAAAGTGACCCGTGGGTCGGGGAGCCTGTGGAGACACAGGTAGCCCCCTCTAGACAGCTGCCGCCTCTGCAGCCCTCTCCTGCAGGACCCGGGCCTGTTTCTGGGGAGGCTGCAGATGTCCCCTGGTCACCCCACCTCCCTGTCCTCCTTGTCCCTCCTCCTCAGCCCCTGCACAGAGCTCCCCCAACCACCCCCTGCCCTGCTGCTTGAACTCACTCCTTTGGAGCTCAACTCAGCCACCCGGGGGCGAGGGTTTGCGGCCCTCTGGGTGAGCTGCACTGCCCCGTGTGCCCTCATGCCTTTGCACCAGCATGTGCCCATGAGCGAGACTCAGGTGCCCTGGAGGACAGGTGGCACCCCAGAGCTGTCCACGCGCCCCAGACAGGGAAGCCAAGCGCCGGCCTGGCAAAGGCTGATGAGAGGCTGGAAGAAGGGACGTTGGCACACAGCTCAGTAAACCGCCACATGTGCCAGCGTCGTCAGGCCACCGGGGTCCCCACCTGGGTGTGGCCTCATAGCAGCAGCCAAGTCCTGGGCACTGACCATAGGAAGGAGGCAGCCAGGCTGGGGCTGGCGGGCGGTGACAGCGGCCTGCTCTCTGCAGCTGCAGAACAACTCCCTGCTCCCCATCAAGTTCTCCATGCTCCTGGACAGTCTCTCCAGCGCCCGGGGCCGGGGCCAGCAGCAGCTGCCGCAGTTCCTCAGCTCGCCCTCCCAGAGGACGGAGGTGGTTGGTGAGCGGGGTGAAGGGTGGGTGGAGCGGGGGAGTGGCAGCGAGTGGAGGGGGTGGGCGGTGAG